TTGGAACTGAAATTCAAATAGGAAAGACTGACACTGAGACCGGGTAAGGGAATACCCAGCACATTTACATTCCTGCACCTGCCCTGCTCTCCGCAGCAGCAGCACCGCAGTCCCCACCACCAGCAGCTCTATAAAGCTCCTGTTCCCGTACGCGACACTCGGGACACAGCTGCTGCCAACCTGCGCGAAGCATCGGTGCAGCAGCTCACCTTGCTGGCACAGCACCGCTACCCACCTTGGAGGATGCAAGCCTGTTACTCCCAACATCTATTTAATGCCACTTTATACGACGCCATAGCTACGGCCATCATCACACTTCAGGCATTTGCTGGCATGTGGATAAACGCTTTCATTGTTTCTGTGCTTTGTATTGCTTGGGTCAAAAAGAAAAGCTTTAACTCCAACGAGAAGATCTTGCTGTTTCTGGGCTGCGTCAGGTTCTGGTATTTGTGCATCACAGGGCTATATTTTGTTCTTTCAACATTTTATGCTCGCTGCTTTTATGTTTACCCCATACCACAAATATTTGTAACTATTCAAAGCTTTTTAAATTCCTCAAACTTGTGGGTTTCTGCCTGTCTCTGTGTCTTTTATTGTATAAAAATTGCAAATTTCAGGCACCGCTTCTTCATCTACCTGAAAGTGAAAATTGACAGGATCGTGCCACGGCTGTTGGAGGGGTTCGTGCTTTTATCCCTGGTCTTCTGCATATTTGTCTACGACATAACTGCTAAAGCGTATAATGACAACTTCAATTCCACCAGCCTGGGAAATTTCTGGAGACAGGATATCAGAATAGATAAATATTTTTTCCCTGTTTTTTTTCTCACTGGCTTTGTTTATGCCATTGCATTCACGGCAGTAATCTCTTCTGCCCTGCTCCTCCTCTTTTCTCTCTGGAGACACCAGCGCAAGATGCAGACAAACTCAGTGAAGAATCTCAGCACCGATGCCCATGTCAAAGCCATGAAATCTATTCTGTCCTTCTTCCTCATTTACAGCATTAACTTTACATGTTTGGTCTTGTCACTGATTTATGTCTTGAAGCAGGAAAATCCTGTGATGTTTTTTGTTTCACTTTTTCAGTATGCTTTTCCGGCTGTTCATTCCCTTATTCTGATTTTCAGCAATCCCAAACTGGAAAAGACCCTCCTAAGGTCTCTGTCCCGTCTGAAGGGCACGGTTTGCATGAGGTAGGAAATGTGATTAAACCTGCAGCCCATTAAAAATGTTGATATTTTCTTGTGAAAACCAAGTCATTTAATCTCTAATGCAACCTTCCAGACAGTGTAGATGATTCAGATGTTCAACCTTCACCATCCAAGTTAAGAAAACATCATTAAAACTCTTTGAAGTAGGTTATCATGAAATAAATAGATTATTGCTATCCTTCGAGTCAGATAATGCTTTGAGTTAAATTATTGTCATTAACAAAGTAATTTAGACCTGGTAGGTACATGGGCTAGCTGCAAATGGGGAAGGAAAATGCTGCAAAACTTCTAACAATGCTTTGGTATCTGCTGATTGAAACTACTTGACTTAACAATGTGTTTATATCTACTTTGTTTTACATTTCTTTCTGCTGTGGCAGAGTACTTTGTAATGTCATGGCTTGTAATGCTATGACTTGTACCACTGTCCTGCACTGGCTTGTAACTTCTGCGTGAAGATGTTGATCACTGTCATTCACCAGAGGTGGTTTCTGGCTTAGAGACGGCAATGCAGGGTCGGCCTTGTACTGGACGGCTGGGTGCAGAGCCCACTTCCATGCCAGCCTTACATGCAAAGTGAAGTGTGGAACATATGCACCGTGTCCATGCTGGGTGTTGGCTGCTGGGGGGTCCATTGCAGTCTTTGCAAGGAAAGGTCAAGGCTGCCCTGTTCTGGGGAAAGACAGTCCCAGCTGGCTCCGGTGGACCCACCACAGCGCACAGCTCAGCCCATCAGCGATGCTGGGGGCTCCTCTGGGACAATCTGCTTAAGAAAGGACAAAAACACTGCCTGCCAGTGGGGAGTGAGGACAATTGTGAGAAAAGGTCCTGCAACAAACAGGCTCAGAGAAGGGAAGGGAGGAGGTGCTCCAGGTGCCAGAGCACGGATTCCCCTGTAGCCCGTGGAGAGGACCACGGTGAGACAGGTTGTCCCACTGCAACACATGGAGGTCCGCAGTGGAGCAGATCTCCACCTGCAGCCTGGGGAGGACTCCATGCTGGAGCAGGTGGCTGTGCCCTGAAGGACTGCAGCCCATGGGAGCGACCCACGCTGGAGCAGGGGAAGAGCACGAGGAGGAAGGAGTGGAAGGGACAATGCATTACAAACTGACTGCAACCCCTATTCCAATTTTCAACCGACAATAAATTCAACTGATTTTCTCCAGGTTGAGTGTTTTGCGTGTGATAGTAACTGGGGAGTCATCTCTCTGTCTTTATCTGAACCCTCCAGCTTGTCCATTTTAATTTTCACCTCTGTCCTCTGGAGGAGCAAGAGTGAGGGTGCCACGGCCAAGCCACCACTGCAGATTACCTAAACATGACATAGTTCCATCACGAACAGAACAGAGTCTGAATTGCTCATTTCTTTCACCAGCTCAGGCCCAGAGGAACTTCTTACCTCATGCCAGGAGCCAAGTGCGTATTTTTCATGCATCTCAGCAGGTTTTAGTTCTGCTTCTGTTTCAAAACACCCACCCAGGAGTACATTTGCCAAATGTGCAGCCTGAAAGCTCAGAGGCCTCCTGAAGGTTTGCAGAGTTCACATATACCCAAAATATATCAAAATATCAAAATATACCATAATGTATATATACCCTCTGGGAAACGGTGCTCCGGGACAGGGAGCAGAACGTAGCTGGCAGATCTTTAAGGATGTTTTCCACAGAGCACAAGAGCTCTCAGCCCCGAGCTGTAAGAAATTAGACAAGGAAGGCAAGAGACTGGCATGGCTGAGTCAAGACCTGCTGGTCAAACTACAGGGCAAGAAGGAAATGCACAGGCAGTGGAAGCAGGGGCAGGCATCCTGGGAAGAGCATAGGGATTCTGCCCGGTTGTGTAGGGAGGGGGTCAGGAGGGTCAAGGTGCAGCTGGAGCTACATTTGGCAAGGGATGCAAAGAATAACAACAAGGGCTTCTACAGCTATTGCAACCAGAAAAGGAAGATTAAAGAAAGCGTACCCCCCCCCTCCCCCCCAACAAACAAAAATGGTGCCCTTTAATCAACAGATGAGGAGCAGGCTGAGGTACTCCAAAACTTTTTTGCCTCATTCTTCACTGACAACCTCTCTCCTCACCCCTCCCCAGCTAATGGACCACGTGATGAGGAACAGGTGGGTAAAGCCCCTCCCACTGTAGGGGAAGATCAGGTTTGGGACCACCTGAGGAACCTGAACATACATAAGTCTATGGGACCTGATGCGATGCATCCCAGAGTCCTGAGCGAATTGGCTATGGGACCTGACGAGATGCATTCCAGAGTCCTGAGGGAATTTGCTGGTGTAGTTGCCAAGCCACTCTCCCTGGTATTTGAAAAGTCATTGCATTCAGATGAAGACTCCGGTGACTGGAAGAAGGGAGACATCATGCCCATTTTTGAAGAAGGTAGCAAGGAAGACCCTGGGAACTACTCACCTGTCAGCCTCACCTCTGTGCCTGGGAAGAGCATGGAACACATTCTCCTAGAATCATAGAATGATTAGGGTTGGAAGGCACCTTTAGAGGTCATCTAGCCCAACCCCCCTGCACCGAGCAGGGACATTTTTAACTAGCTCAGGTTGCTCAGAGCCCCATACAAACTGACTTTGAATGTTTCCAGGGATGGGGCATCTACCAATTCTCCAGGCAACCCGTTCCAGTGTTTCACCACCCTCATGCTAAAAAATTTCTTCCTTATATCCAGTCTCAGTCTACCCTCCCTCAGTCTGAAATCGTTACACCTTATCCTGTTGCAACAGGCCTTGCTAAAAACATAGTCCCCATCTTTCCTACAGGCCCCTTCAGGTACTGGAAGGCTGCTATAAGGTCTCCCTGCAGCCTTCTCATCTCCAGGCTGAACAGCCCCAACTCTCTCAGCCTCTCCTCGTAGGCCACAAGAAATTAAACAATCTGAATTCACTGAAAAGCACACATCACTTGACACTTCCCAGCCTGCCTGCAGTGGAGCAGCAGAATGGGGGGGTTACAGGGACAGAAACTGCCAAATCAGCCTCTGGAAACACAACTTGCAGGGGAAGAATCACAGAATGACAGAATCACAGAATGATAGGGGTTGGAAGGGGCCTCTGAGGATCATCTAGTCCAACCTCCCTGCTGAAGCAGGGTCACCCAGAGCAGGCTGCACAGCACTGCCTGCAGTTGGGTTTTGAACATCTCCAGAGAAAAAGAATCCACAACCCCTCTGCGTAGTTGTCCCAGGGCTCCGTCACCCTGAGTGAAGAAGTTCTTCCTCATCTTCAGATGGAACTTCCTGTGCTTCAGTTTGTGCCCATTGCCCCTGGTCCTGTCGCTGGGCACCACTGAAAAGAGTCTGGCCCCATCCTCCATATCTACCCTTAAGATATTTATAGGTGTTTCTAAGGTCCCCTCTCAGTCTTCTCTTCTTCAGGCTCAACAAGCCCAGCTCCCTCAGCCTCTTCTCGTAGGAGAGATGCTCCAGTCCCCTCATCATATTTGTAGCCCTCCGCTAGACTCTCTCCAGTAGCTCCTCATCTTTCATGAAGTGGGGAGCTCAGAACTGGACAGAGTACTCCAGATGGGGCCTCACTAGGGCGCAGTAGAGGGGAAGAAGATTTTGCAGACACAAATCACTGAACAAGTCCATGGTTTTATTATATCTTCTACAATTAATATTATTTTCATATTTTTAAGGCTTCAGCAAATTAAAGGCGGTAATAAGTTTGCTTTCAGTATTACCCTGTGAGACTTGCTTTACTAACAGTTAATGTATTTTACATTTTTGATTTTATAAAAGCTAGTGATTGGTGTCTTGCCTGACACTATGCCTATATATAGGCATTTACACAGGTCCATTTACATGTTAACAACACTTGCCTCTGTGAACTCCACCACTTGCACACACAAAAATTCAATACACTGAAATATTATGTGCCACTGGCTGCCTGTGCTAAGAAAGCTTGATTTCATATTAGACCAGACTTTGCTTTTATGTTAGATGAACACAGTGCTTCACTCCTTTCTATTCCTCAACCTTACTTTGTGTCAGTGATAGCGAATCTTTAAAATTTGATAGTATTTACAGTGAAAATTATGATATCTCTGCACCCAAAACACTGAATGGAACAGTTTTCCAGTGAAATACAGGAAAGGAAACCTCAGAAGACAGACATGTAGTCACTCAGAAAAGAGTGAGACTTGATGAATGAACAGGGTTTCTACCAGACAAGAAAGTTTTCTGCTTAGAATTCCCTTCTAAATAACAGGCTGGCTTTGGTCATCTTTAGTTTATTCCATTGGGGCCCATGGATTTGTGGGTGTCCAGATTGCTTAAATGATCTATCACCTGATCCTCCTCAACCAAGAGAAGGTCTTCCTTTGGCCAGGATTCCTCTCTTAATTCCAGGGATACAACAGTGAAGACTGAGGCAAAGTAGGCATTCAGTAACTCCGCCTTCTCTATATCCTCCCTCACCAGGGCACCCACCTCATTCAGCAGTGGCCCCACATTTTCCCTGTGCTGGTCCTGTCCTTACAACTCCTCACATTGCCAGCAGAGGAGTTTTCAGCCCTGGCACAGGGACTCCTGCTTATATTTGCCCTTTTCCTCTGCAGGCTTCAATTTAAAAGAAAGCCTGGCTTCTCCTCCAATGCCTTCCCCCTACCATGTGGCTTTTCACTTACAACTAAGGCATTACCGCTGGGAAAACCAGGCCCAAAGGAACATCACACCTCATGCCAAGAGCCAAGTGTGTGTTTTCATGCAGCTCAGCAGGTGGTGTTTCTGCCTCGTTTGTAAGCTTTTTATTTGAAGGTTTGCCTTTTCCGTGAGCAACAGAGCACTCCCTTCCTTGTCCCTCTCCATTCACACAAAAATGAAAGGGGGATATGTTTATAAGAAAGTATAAGAAAGTATTTTTGAACTATTATTGAGAGCATCTCAGGTGGCATTAAACATCTCTGTGTAGACAGCTGAATCAGTCCCCAGAAATCTAGAGGAGCGAGATCGATCAGAGAGTTGTTGGTTGTGGCTGTGACACCTGAGTGTTGCGGCTGGGTGCGAAGCACACCGATTACTAAGGCGCTCCAGAAGGACCAGGTTTGGGTAGTGGAGGGGAAGCAGAGGAGAAGCGAGGAAGGTGCATAAGGGGAGGAGATGCAGACACATAAAAGATGTCAGAAATCAATACGAATGGCTGACCAGTGCTGGCATGGTATGGAAAACTGCCATGGGTCAAATTAAAACTTTTGATGATCGGGAAGTGAAACAGTTAAAAATGCCTTTGCCATGGAAAGTGTGGATGAGCAGAGGGATAGCTCAGGACCAGTTCCACAGCATTCCTACGAGCACAGGCATAAAAATGGCTGGGGGCACTGCTAAAAATAAAGCAGTGCTCTGTGTTGGCAGTCACAGGTGTCTGAAAGTAGCAATGAGGGAGCACGTTTTCCCTTCTGCTGGGCCAGGAATGGCAGAGACAGGCTATTAGACCAATGTGTCCAGTAAAAGGTCAGCATCAACGTCTCCCCTTCAGCCAGAAGAAGTAACTGCACCCCACTCTCAAAGAAAAGAGAGAGGCACCACTGGAGCTCTGCAGACCCCCCTGGCTGACTCAGGACCAGCAGCAAACAGGCAAAAGCCACAGACATCACCAGACTGAGCAGCACCACAGTCCCAGATGCTTTCATGAATCAGTTCAGAGCAAAACCATTCCCTTCTCATGCAATATGGGTAACTGCTGTTCTTTCTGTAAATTTACACATTTCAGTGAATTAGATTATTGGTATATTTAAATAACTTCTGCAGCTTTCTCATATTTGAGATCTGATACATGCAGAGACACAAACAGGCAGAAGTACTTCTGCCTGTCCCCTGTTAATTACAGTATTTACAGTGTATCACAAAGATGCATTCTTGTGTCCATCTGCTTCTCCTGTTCATCCGTATTTCACCCTGCAGATGCACCTGAGGTCTGCCAGTGCCTTTGCTCTGCATTGCAAGCTCTCAGTGACACCAAATAGCCAGGGCACACTACTGCTTCCTCCTTTTTTTTTTATTTTTCTTCTGAGCAGAGGATGTGTAGTTCTCCCGAGAATACGGTGGATTTCTCTCAAGCAATTCTTTCTTGAGTTCCCAGTCTTCATCTCTCTGGTCTAAGGGGATTCCTTTCATTGCGGCTGTCCTGCGATAGTTTCTGCTCTCCACCTCTGCTCTGGGGAAGAAAGCAAGAGTGCATCTTCAGATGGTGAGCACAGCACAGCCACCCCACCGCTAAACAGTGGCCCATCTACACGATCAGGGGATCGTGTATTCATATGGTGAAAACATTGTTACCAGCAACACATGATAAAACACTGAGGCTCATCCCACATCCAACAGTGTTCATCCTCCCAGTTGAGCAGGTACTCACTGAGAGCTGGGCTGAAGTGGGAAACCTTCAGTAAAGATCTATGGTGAGATCGCACTTTTACCATTAGAATCGTAATTTTAAACATAAAAAGCTCTCAAATGCTGATCTTGTGAATTTGTGTTCCATTACATAGACTTAAGCACATTTAAGGCAATTGTACATGGTATATTAACTCACTGCAACCACAACATTCCCATTTTCTTTATTTTTTGTACTGCCCATTCATAAGTACTAGAAATTCCTAATGCCAAAACATCAGACCTGAAGAAGACTGGAATTTGGGAGGGTTTGTACGTAGTTATTCTTTATAGAAGACCTTTTAACCTCAGAAATTATCTAATCCTAATCCAATTCAGCCCTGAAATTTTGCTAAACTTTGCATTCAAATCCAGAATTGATCTTGAAAATTCTTCCCCATTTCTGTTTTTTAAATAATAACTTGAAATAAGCAATGTCATAGAAATAAGGCTGTGCCTCAGAGGTTCAGATTTTTCATGGGAAAACATTTTCCCCAGCCCAGTATCTCCATATGCAAATCATTCACAGCTCTCCTCTGGTTGCTGGGGTTTTCAGCTGTGTTTTTCAAGTTACCTCCATGATTTCAAGCATGTGACACCGGTGTATGTCAGACACTGAACCATCATCCATCCAGACCTTGGGATATCCAGGTCAGCACTGAATTTGCTCTTGGCATCTCTGATTTACCAAAGTCCTAATTTTTTCTCGTGATATTCATATATTTTCTGTTAAACAAACACAGTCCCAGATCTTCAGTGAAGGAGACTGTACAAGCTAACCTGAAAATAAACATACTTCACTGTAGTTTTCCTTATAGCCTTGAAATATCAATGGTGTTTCTTTACACTTCCCACTGCAAACAAGCAAAGCAAATTAAAAACCACTTTCATCAAGACCAAAGCACTCCTTTGAGGGCAGAATTTAATTTTTCTTAGTATCTCAGTTATGGTTTTGTTAATCACAGCTCTTAAATATTTTTCCTATGAAGTGTTGTTAACTTTCTCTTTACAATCTTTACAAAACGTGGCATTGACCAGCCAATTATTTTGGAAAAAAAGTGACTCCAAACTAAAAAATTGATAGTTACTTTCTGCCTTCTGTGTGCACTGAGGAATACTAAAATAATGAGTACATCTGTCCTTCACATCCAAGTCACACAACATAGAATCATGGAATGGTTTGGGCTGGAAGGGACCTTTGAAGATCATCTAGTCCAACCCTCAAGTTTCAAGTCACTGAAAGTTTCTTTCAGTTTGCTTTAAAAAAATAGCAAAAGCCTTCTTTTCTGTCTCACTTCAGTAGTAAGCAGGAGAAAGTACTGAAAAAAACAGGAGCCACTGTAGCAGGGTGCCCTTGGCCATCTTCCAGATGCCCACCCAGTCGTTCTCTCACTGCCCCTCCTCAACAGGATGGGTGGAGAAAAACAGAAAAGCTTTTGGTTCAAAATAAACACAGGGAGATATCTTACCAATTACTGTCATGGGCAAAACAGACTTGGGGAAAAAACAATTTAATATATTGCCAATAGAAAATCGAGGGAAAGGCTGCTGGATGTTGTCTACCTGGACTTTAGTAAGGCCTTTGACACTGTTGCCCACAGCATTCTCCTGGAGAAACTAGCTGCCCATGGTCTGGATGGGTGTACTCTTCGCTGGATAAAGAACTGGCTGAATGGCTGAGTGCAGAGAGTGGTGGTGAATGGAGTTCAATCCAGCTGGCAGCCAGTCACAAGTGGTGTCCCACAGGGCTGTTTTGGGTCCGGTCTTGTTTAACATCTTTACCAACGATCTGGGTGAGAGGATTGAGTGCTCCCTCAGTAAGTTTGCATATGACACCAAGTTGGGTGGGAGTGTCGATCTGCTTGAGGGTAGGAAGGCATCCGTGGAGCTGATGGAGCGTGTCTAGAGAAGGGCAACAAGGCTGGTGAGGGGCCTAGAGAACAAGTCTTATGAGGAGCAGCTGAGGGAGCTGGGGCTGTTTAGTCTGGAGCAGAGAAGGCTGATGGGATACCTTCTTGCTCTCTACAACTACCTGAAAGGAGGTTGTAGTGAGGCAGGTGTTGGTCTCTTCTC